TTATGTTTATGGTAAGCTTAATGATGATGATGATAATGATGAAATAGATGTTGAAAGCAATAAAATCAAGACAGAAGTCTTCGAATTATGAAATTACAATTTATTTTCTCATGTTTTTAAAAATCTATATACTTCTTATCATACATCATCATTAAATAGACCTCATAATTTGATCACTGAATAGTAAATATATCATGAAATATTTAGTTGTGTCATTTCACATTTTATACATTTTTAAAAATAAGATTTTGTCTTTACCAATCTATTATTCGAGAAGTCCTACCAAATGTTTAATAAAATAATATCCCGCACAAAAATTTTGTTTCAACATTTACTACTATTGTCGCATTAAAAAGAAAGTATAATATCAATTATTGTTCTGATTCTGAAATAATTTAAATATTTTTATTACACAAATTCACAAATAAGAGAAGAATGGTTTTGTATCATAATACTTTATCATTTTGACAAACTCAACAGCAACAAAATAAACTGTTATTAAATATTTTCCAGAAGATACAGTTAACCCCTACCCCTCAGCCGGGAACAAAGTACCGGTAAGTGTCCCCTAATAGGGGCTGGCCGTAGTGTTAAAAGATATACTTCCCCTCGTTTCTTGGCCGAAAAAGTGTCTCCAATATAATAATAGGGGTGTCCTAAAGGAGGGGTTCTACTGTATATTGTTTGATTGATTTTACGATGATGCTATTCACACCTATCTGCGAATGATCCATGCATCAGCCTAAACTAGACGGTCATTGGACCTCTGTTAAGAGGGTCATTTACTATATTCCCATGGATATCGATAAATAACGGAAGATAAGTCAGGAAATCAAGGAAGTCAACGATACCATTGCCCTCACGTCCGAATTTATTTACAACCTGAAAATAATAAAAGATGGATATTGGTTTATGAAACTCGTTTTGGAAAACTAAAATATTTCGGTTATTACGTAATGGTTTGAACAGGCAGTGCAGTGGCGGAATCAGGGGGCAGCAAAAGGGAAGCTCTCTCCCTTCACCTGCAGTAGCCTGAAAATCACTGGCCAAGTGATTCATTTAGATAAAAGATTAAAAAAGCTAAAACTCCGAAACTTCACGGACTTTCTTAGGTAAGGAACACTCTCTCAAACAGAGACCCACTTAGGACCATAGGTCCTCTCGTCGGCGAAAATATTCTGCATCCGCTACTGCATACGTAAATCACCTAAAAAGTTACTCTCTAACATTCAAAGTAGGTAGATAATAAAGTCAAAGACAACAGATGTCGACTTTTCTTTCTAGGCCTATTGTAAGTCCTGTTTATAAGATTGTAGGATTTGTCCAAGTTTTGGGATTTTAAAGGATTTGTGAACTGAGTCTAACATTCTGTAAAAATTACATAGATTGTTTTTTCTCACTGGCGAATTGCGTTTTTTCTCCCCGACTGGGAGCAGCTCCTCCCGAAAGAGGAGCTGGGCCCCTCACACAGGCGCAAACACTGAAATAAATTACTCTTTCATTAGCAGCCGACAGGCCTATACATAAAAGTTTCTACAATACTTACGAATTCAATGTGCTCTTTGCGTAGGCCTCCTGCCTGCAAGTCAATGGAGAGACCATTGAGCGTTACCTCCCCAGGGTACGTCTCGTCACATTCGTCTTCCAAGAGTCTAAATAATTCCTATAGATGAAAAAGTTTTAATTAAGTTTTATTTATTAATTAATATTTTGTACGCAATATTTTTATATATTTGTTTTAATTATGTTTTATTCATTAATTAATATTTTCAATTGCAATTTATATTTTTTTATATTCTCAATAATTATTCATTTTCTAGCTACTAATTGCCGTGCCTTACCTTCGCACGTTGCATCTTCACATCGAGCGCTTCAAAATCCATTTTGTTGATCATTTTCTTCACGAACGGTCTTAAACAAGAGAAAAATTCAATGCTCATAATTTTGTGACAAACTATTTTTGGTTTATTTCGTATTTCCAATGGTTCCTTCATATAAAATCGTAATCGTATCAAAACAATAGATTTTTCAAAATATTGAAAATATGAAAATTCGTTCAATCGCATCAAAAAGTACTGTTATTTTGTGTGTAATACTTACTCTAATCTAGACACTTTCTCTGACAATGCAGCCACAACTGTAAATAGCTTGAAGTTGAGTTTATGTCGCTGTGGTAGGTTAAGGATCTAGAACGAAATCAGAAAAAATCGTGATCAATCCTTTAAATTAAATCGTTCACACTTACATTCTTTCCTCATGCCGATTGCAACGCAGAGCACTGTATGCAATACCCAATAAAGTAATTTCTGAAAATCGCAATACTGTACCTACAGTGCCGTTTCTATGACAATTGCTAAACTGTTTAGCTGTCTTTAAAAGACTCTTCTCCTCCTCCCAAACCAAACGTTTAACAATGGCTGAACAAGTTTAACCTGCCCCAATTTCTCAGTCCCATAAGCGACGGTTTAGTGGCAATATTATGGAAACCAACTATAACGACTAGGCCTATATTTCAACTTAAGTGAGAAAAACATTACGACTATATTTTAACTTACGTGATAAACATACTGACATTCTTTCTTCGTGATTAGTTGTCCGTTGATCTGTTCCAACAGTGGCTCCATATCTGCCAATTTTATGTTATGTTCCTGCAATAAAATCATGATAGGAGTACACAATTTAATCCAGTAAAGTTTAGATCTCCATGGCCATCGTTGCTGATTTTGTTATGTGATTTCTATTTTTAAATACCAATAGTAATGATTGGGTTTACAGTATACAACTTCGTTATTTGATTTTATAATAAAAATCTTTTGCAAATAAACTCCATATCATTGATCAATAATATTCAATATCATTAAATTGTATATTACATTATAAATAATTGGTCGAGGTTTTTTCCAATATTTTAATTCTGGTACAGCATTAAACACAACAACGCACCTCAAGTGGATTCATCTTCTTGTAAAGACTACTCTGTTCGCGCCGAAATTCAGGCTTTTTCGCTTGACGCTTGTCTTCTTCCCGCTTCGTTTGTTCTAAAACCTGTGCACTCATTAACGAAGTCTCGTTTTTCAGTTCTGAAATCCATTTTTCCATATCTTCAAGTTTCTCGTTGGCACGTAGTTTGGCAAATTTAATTTTTCTAATACAAGGATCCTCTTGGATCTAAAAAAGAAATTACAATGTAGGACTATTTAGGTATTTTATCATATAGGCCTAAATCAATAACTCTGATTATTACGGCATTACTTAAACAAAACCACACTGAAACTATTATAACGCACTGACTTTTGCACGCTTACCATTCGCATTTGAGCAGAGGATATGCGGGCCACAATTTGATCGTCTGTCAGTTTGCTTGGATGGACAAGTTGAGTTTGGACTGGACTTCCCCTTGGTGTGCCACGTGGTGTTCCTTTAGGAGTTCCGCCTACAGTTAATGTTGTTGATGAGTTGCTGTTGTGTTTTTCTGACGTTTTTCCCTTACCTAAACAGAAATATTTTTTAAACAATCATTATGTATAAAAACATTGCATATAAAAACTATTGTAAATGTAGACTCTAAAGTCGATTAAATAAGCCTTTGAAACCCCTAAATTGTTAACATTTTCGGGACCACTTTTGAAACATTTTAATCGAAGCTCGACCACGCCCACATTGCTTTCGTCGGGGAAATCTTACCCCTCTTCGGAGGCATCGCCCCCCCTCCCCCGGTCAGGGTCCTCGGCCCACCGTCCAACAAATCTTGGCGCCACCCCTGATTAGTGAATGATTTAGTGTTTAGTTGGGCCTAAATTTAATAGTTACACAATTTTTTTTTTGGAAATTACAGTCAATTAGAAAAATCTAGACAATTATCTCAGAATTTAACTGAATGATCTATGAGTTGGTTACCGTACCTTTTCCCTTCTTTTTGCCAGCTTTGGATTGTTTTGAGTTGTTTGCCTTTTCGCGAAAAGTCTTTTCGAGTTCAGCTCTAGCTAATACTTTTACACTCTCGTTATGTTGCTCTAAAAGAATTTAATATAAAAACAGAACTGAGAAACACTTGGTTCTAAAAAAGTTGTTTAGGCCTATTAACGATGGAAAATAGACAATATATAACGGTGCGAGATCAAGTATACATTACCTTCGTATTCATGAATTTGAGCGTGAAGTTGCTCAACTTTGGAGTAGACATTGTCGAGGATGAAGCTGAGCTTATCAAGGCGTTGTTGAATCTGAATCTACGAAAGAGACATTCAAGTTCAAGTTCAAGTTTATTAAAATCAAATTCGCAACCTCCAAAAGAAGTTGAATTGCCTTGATCTGTACAATAGTTAAAATACATTAAAATATAAATATATAAAGTACACGAGAAAAATATACATACAGATTGAAATAGAATAAAATTACAAGAGGTTACAAATTCAAAAGTTACAATTTCAAAATTACAAACACACAATGAGCAATTAAGCAAAGCAATTACAAAATATAGTAAAAAGATCAAATTAAAAAATCAAAAGGGCCCAGGGTCTCATTAAAATTAATAATTAATAAAATTTGTAAACAGAGTTAAAAACACATCATAGAAAAGTAAATTGAATATGGGATAAAAATAAATGGGGGTGGGGGGATGGCGGGGGAAAGGACAAGATGCTGTATGGGGAAAGGGAATCTCTCAAAAATTTATCTGCAGCAGAATCAGTGAACCGGTTATCGTATGGCATCACGAATGGAAAGTCGAGATATACGCATAGGCCTACATTCAGAGATCATTCAACATGGTAGTAAGATATGGGATTGCACTATTGGCGTATCAGTTGACTCTACATTTTGGTAGTTGGAACCTGCGCATCTTTCTTAGATGCATACTGTGATTGGATTGGTTTTCAACAAACCAGTGAGGAAATGAGTTTAAACTATTAATAGCAAACCTTTTACAAATGTTATTTCTCCTCTCACTCAACTTTTCAATATTTAGCATAACAAGCGACTCATCATAATTGATATAATCGTTTGCTAAGATAATTTTACATGCCCTTTTTTGCACATACTCTATGGACCTAGACTGATCAACAGTATATCAGCAAGTATAAACAAAAAAGCTGGCCTTATAATGTTATAGTCGTCGACAGGCCTGCTCAACAGTGCATAGGATAATTTTATTACGTCATGAAAAAACCTGGAATATGGGAATTAAAATCACCTGTTCAGAATTCAATCTTGGCAGAAATAATCTTCCTGGCTTGATTGTGTATTCTCATTTTACTTCATTATGTTAAATTTTAGAAAATTGCTCTTCACACATTTGTACATGATATTTGCTTTATACAACTGACTGTATATTATATTGTAATGTCAGTTTTCCAAATTCAAATTCAATCAAAATCAAATCTGAACAAGTGTAACGAGAAGATATACCAACGAAACCCTATATTTCTGCTTATGAGAATATATACTACTTACTGAATCCCCAGTTGCTTCATGTCTGGGAGACTGAGTAGATGAATCCAGGTCGCTGGTTGGGCTCTCTGACGTCTGTCGATTATCTGCACATTCCATTGCAATATCCTTTGGACTTATGTACTCTTCTACATCCGGAGATTTAGCGGACCGGCCAAAAGTATTTTGAAATTCATCTGCTTTAGATGGATGGCGCTCAGTTGCAAGAGCTTCGTCATCAACCAATGAGTTTTCATTCCATACATATTCGTCATCGTAATATTCTTCAGTTGACGCTAACTTACTAAAAACTCGTTCGTAGTAATTGATTCGGTTTTTACTGTACATACATACCAAAAGAATGGATGGAAGAGTAATACTTTACAATTATTCATTTTGTCAAAAATCACAGCTGCTAAAATATTTTGTAAGAAGAATACTACGATTTGTTCGAGTCTGAAAACCACCTGACTACTGTATTACATTACAGGGGCGGATTTAGGTGGGGAGCGGCCCGCCCCCCCCCCCTTTTTGGTATATCTGTCTCTTATACACATCTAGATGTGTATAAGAGACAGGTATATAATATATATATTGTTTATGTTTAAATAAAAAAGCACAAAGCAAGGAAATTATATAAAAATCTCCAAAACTCACTGCACGATGCAATACTTAGCGAGATAATCGAGAGGATCCCTAACGACATGTTCAGGACTGGCAGGTTGATCAACCGCCTTAGATTTTCTGCGTGTTTGTTTCCTTGTTAACAAAAACGAAATTATTATTACATGATGTATAATAATTACATAACAAATATGGAATAATTACATCAATGTCAATGTTACTGATTATATTATAATCATATTAATTATATTGTAGATTTTTTAAAAATCAATGCAAATTACTTGTCTGACCAATATCATTAAAACCCAAATGATTTATTCTACCATTAATAATGTTATTAATATTATTTTTATTGTTATTAGTGTTTTTTTATTATTTTAGTTTAATTTTATATTAATTATAAAATATAAATAAATAAATTATGATAATTAGTTATTGATCATTGTCATTGTCATTGTCATTGTACTTGTCATTTTTCATTGCCATTATCATTATCATATCATTGATTATTGAAAGGACACGAGATGAAAATATATAAAAATGCTGCAATGCATGTAGCCACACCTTATTCTCTTCCAAATAATTGGTTCCTTCTTAGGAGCTGGAGGGGACGGTAATACTATGGGGGTTGGGGTAACAAGTGTCGGTTCCTCGTCTGGATTTATTACTGGTGTTGGAACAAGAGGTAATGGAGGCAAAACAAATGTTTCTGTCTCCGGTGGTGGTTCTGGCTCAAGAGACACTGGGACTGGTTCCTTCGGCTGTACCAACGGTAATTGCTGTTGAGGAATTAAATATGGAAAGAATAGTTTTTTTAAAGGTGATATTTATCAAGCTTTACAATGACAGCATATTTACATTCTAAAACTTAATCATCTCTAAATACGCCTCTGTTACAACGCAGTTAGAAGTACCGGTAGTACGTGACTGGCGACAGATTGAACAATAAATATGGCTGTTGGGATAGCAGAGAACTCATAATATTGTCTAGTATAGCAACATACCTGTTTACGTCTCTGAGGTAACTTTGTAATTTTTCTGACCGTCCGTATCTTTTTCGGTTCGTGTTTACGTTGTTTTTGTTGTTTAACTGCAGGCTTCAAATCTAGCGATTTTAAAACATTGTTAATTAATAATAAATATACAGTTAGTAGCATTCGTTTCTGATTCAGCAAAATCACGTAGCCTAATTCAAAGAGAATACTCTTACAGTAAATTGGGCCTATATCATCGGACTGCTAACCAACTATTGAGATTCTTTTTGTTTTGTTTTTTGTTTTGTTTTATTCAGCATCTCGCATAAAAAATTTTAATTTACATCATCATAAAAACAATAAAATAAAATTTCATTAAAAAAACACGGTTAGATGAATAAAGAAATAAACAAAGGATGCCATGGATAACCTATAATGTAAGAAACTTATTTCCAATCGGGTCCATATTCCGGCAGAAATAAATCCTATTCAGCAGCATCGATACTAATAATAATAATAGAAGAAACATGCAAACACATCGCTTGAATTATTTGATATTCTGCCTATGTACATTTATACTCTAAAACCACTTACCTTAACACACCCTTTAAATCCAAATCTTTCAATAATTTACCGGTAACTATTCAAAAGTTAATCTGAAGTTATTCTCATGGGTTTACCAATAAACTAATTTTATAGTCCGTATTTTTCTTTTCGTATTTTTAAATTATTTATTTATTTATTTTCTTTTTATCATGTTCTTCCCTTTTTGCTATTGGATGGGATGCAAAGCGTAGCCTAGATTTTTATACACTACAGTAGGCGTTCGTAGTTCAAAGTGTACATGTCTGGGTAAAACGTCAACTGAGTACAATTAAAAACGGTATAGGCAATCATTTATGTTATTTTCAATTTATAATAGCAAATTCGAAATAGGAAATTTAAGAATATTTTCGAAGCTTGTATTTTAATCTTTAATTCATATAATGTTCTATATATTTGAACTTTACAAATTTTATATTTTGTACCTTGTTTACCAATGTGCGGCTTAGAATTAAAACAAATTTAAAAAGCTTCTTGCTGTTATTTTGATAATTAAGTATCTCATAAACAAACATACCTATCATACGACGACAAATGTTCAATAGGCAAGGTATGAAGCGAGTTCGCTACTATTTTATGAAATATTTAAATTTCGCTCGCCTCAATTGTCGATTCAGGCCCGTACGCATAACTTTTATTGGGTGGGTGCGAATTTGTAGAGATTGGACCAAAATTTATGATCACGACACCTTTAAAATGGCCAGAAATTGCATTCTCAAACAATTTGAATATCATTTTCTTTTTTCCCAATCTATTTTATATAGCTGTTTTGCTGATGATGATGATGACGATAATAATGATGAAAGATTGATATACAAATATTTTAAAGCTAATGACATAGGTTCGCAGGATATATTTTACAATGTAAAGGAAAGATAGCGGATTGTTAGAATAGTAAGTCACCCTCCTATACTACGCCTGTGTGTATGCATGGATAAGATAAGCGTGTTCCATTGTACCTGTCTCTTATACACATCTAGATGTGTATAAGAGACAGGATATATGGGGAACTAGATTCAGTTAGGTTTCTTGAATCCCCTACGGTCAGTGGCGGATTTATGAATTTGATAAAGAGGGGGCAAGGGAAGAAATTTTACAGTTTGAGAGTCCATGACACTTTAGCCTCACTATGGATAGGCTTGAGGTAAGAACATTTATGATTATAGCACCTCTATATGGCCGGAGATGGGGGGGGGGGTGGCGCTTGGAGGAACCTGCTGCTAGGATCGAGGTGGTGGAGCTCAGGCATTTTTTATAATTTGAGGTCATATTTAATCAATTTCTGAAGATGCACACGGTTTTAGTGGCGGATCTAGGCATTTGATTAGATATAGATAAGAGGTCAGGGAGGGACTTCATAGATGGAGGAAACTACCACTGTTAGTGGCGGATTTAGGAATTTAATATAGAGGGGGTGGGGGAGGGAAGGATTTTACAGGTTGAGAGCAATGCAGTAGCCAGCTATTGGGACAGTCTCACAAAATTTTTTTAATGGGTCCACATTTTAAAAATGGGTCCAAATTATGCTATTTCATGCATAAAATGATTCCACTTGAATGATGGGTAAAATTTTAAGAAAATGGGTCCAGATTTATTATATTTTTGCGTGAAATGGGTCAACTTTTAAGAAATTGGGTCCACATTATTTGAATGTACGTGTAAAGTGGGTCCACCCTGATATTGTCCCGCAATGTTTAAAAATCTTGGCTACGGCATTGATTGAGAGTTGATAACACCACAGCCCCACCATGGTTGGGACTGACGTAAGAAAATTCATGATTATGGCACCCCTAGATGGCCGGAGATGGTACTCTCAGACTTAAATTTGAATATAAATTTCTTTGCTTTTTAAAAATAATTTTCACAAATTAGGGGGGTGGTGATTTTTTTTTTAAATTTCCTACCTCCCCCGACTTCCCCGTGTACGGGCCTGCGATTAAGGATTTACTTTTTTTTAATTATTTAATGTAATTTTATTCATTTTTTAAATTGATACTTCTGATAGCGTATCGTACCTTTTTAAAGATGTAATTGTACTGTTTTTGTCATGCTTTATTGTTTAACTTCAATTTTTCAATAAAGCTTCTCTTATCGTATCGTATTATTTGTAAAAACAAAATAAGTAGTACCAGTCTACAAGATTGACTTTCGATATACACTTAGGCCTAAACATGCACACTTCAAATTAGGAGACAAATTATTAATTGGTCCCTCAGACAACTATGACGAGGACTATTTTAAGATAAAAGAGATAAACATGAGAAGCTATGCATGCTAGCAGCATATAAACTAATAGGTTGAAACCCGAAGCAACTATTGATTCTACAAAGCATATTTTCTTTTCTAATCTCTCATAATTTATCTGCAAGCAATGTGTTAGTTTACCTGGTAGCATCTTTGGTCTTTCTTTCTTCGGTTCCAATGGTTTCGGAGTCTGTAGTCGTTTTAACTTAATTTTCTTCTCTGGTTTTTTGAGTGGCGTTATTACTAAAGAAGGCATGAGCAAAGCAAATAGTTTGGCTTATGATGAACATCCATGAAAATAATGACGATAATGAAATTGACGATGATGAAGATATTGATAAAATCGATAGAGATTAAGACTAATCAAACTGACGGTGAAGATAATGAGTGAGAATGTTGCTACCAATAGCTTTGATAATAATGATGATGCCGATGATGACGAAGACAATAATGATGGCGATTGATGATGATAATCATCTTTTTGATATTGATATCGATGATGTCGATGATTTTGATAATGTTGCTGTTGTTTTGCTGATGATGATGATGATGACGATACTAATGATGAAAGATTGATATAAAAATATTTTAAAGCTAATGACATAGGTTCGCAGGATATATTTTACAATGTAAAGGAAAGATAGCGGATTGTTAGAATAGTAAGTCACCCTCCTATACTACGCCTGTGTGTATGCATGGATAAGGTAAGCGTGTTCCATTGTACTTTTCCTTGAAATACTGAGCCCTTAACCGTGTGAAAACTTACTTGGATTTGCTTCCTCGATTTGTGGTAGCGGTGGAAGAATCGGTGTTGGCGCCTTTGGTGGGAGTGGGGACGTTGGCTTCTTCGGTGGTGGCGTTGAATCTTTTGGAGGCGGAGTTGACTCGTTTGGAGGTTGTGGCGTTGGCTCTTTGGTTGGTGTTGGTTCTATTCCTGGACTTGAGTTTTCAGGTGTTGGGTCGTATTCTGGGGTGGGGGTTGGCGTTAATTCTGGGGTTGGTTCTTTTTGAGTGACTAATTCACTTATTAAGGGTAGTTCTGGAGTTGGGGATCTTGGGGGTGATTTAGGTTCCAATTCATTAGGTATTATTGAGAGAGGTTCTTGAGGCGGGGAATTAGCAGGCATTGGACTCTGCGACGATTCACTCGTTTCAAGGTCTAATTGAAAAGAAATGACCAGCTACAAGAACTAAAACTACATCTAAAGATCATGAAAATGCCTTTACAAAACACATTCTACAATGTATTGAATATTCAGAAGTAATGGTATCTCATCAAATCATCGAAGAACAGATACATAAATGATATAAAGAATTACGATATAAAATGCAGAACACATCAAAAAACAAAAAGAATAAGAAATACATATATCGATAAGGATTAGATATTTAATATTGATTTAAATATAGATCAATTTTGCCTAATTCATAATTATACTCATAGAATCCCAATAGTTTCACGATATATCAACATTACAGCGTAGAATGCTTGAAGTTGATAGAAGAACGAAAATGACATTGTTAAATACCTGACTTCTGTACTTCAACATTCTGGTCTGGCTCTGTCACACTAAAAATAGTTATAATCAATAGTCAATTGGTGATTGGTTATTACAAAGTCATTACTCTTCTATTTGTGTATTAATTACTTTTCATTGCGATTACACATAAAAGAGGATATACTGCATTTTCAACCGGTTTTTAAAAATCAACATGACAATGATTTAATCAAAAACAGCAAAAGCTAGACTGGGGAGAGAAAATATCTTTACCTCGGCATTGGAGTTGGCTCATCGATTACAGATGGTTCAGGGCTAGGCGATGACTCTTCTTCAGGTTCTAGAGGTTCCGGCACAGGTTGTGGTTCTTTTTTCTTTTTCTCTAGAACCGGTTCCACTCCCACCTCCTCTTCTGCAACAGGTGACGGAGACGGAAGTAATTCCGGTCGTATCGTCTGCAGTTTCGGTTTAGTTGAAGATTTTGGGTTTTCCTTTCCTTTTGGAGCTTCCCAGAACTGAGTGGTCTTCATGGTGTCGTCTTGTTTTAGTTCAAATTTCTTTGGTTCCTTCCAATTGGAGTCAGTTCTCTTAAACTCTTGTGGTTTTGTTACAGGTTTTGAACCCTTCTTAATGTCTATCTCATTGGGTTGTGGGACGTTGTAAGACCTATTCTTCGAGAACGGGTCAGTCGACACCGTGGTCTTCTTATCATTGTCCTTGAGTTTGAAAGGATTTGGCGCTGTAGGTAGTAATTGAATTGATACTTTTATATGAATTTTAAGAATTTTCGCAATATTTTCAGAATTTAGCAACGTGTTGCTAAGTACGCATCACAAATTACTGGAATAGAGCAGAACTCTATAATCCATTGTTCTTAATTGATTTAGGAAGAAAATAAACTGTATATTGCAAGACATAACCCATCAATCGCATTCTCTCTTAGAAGTCTTACGTAGTGGCAGGCGATATTTTATTTCATTTTATGTCATTTCTTTAGGCACGAGAGCCAAGAACATGCCAATAAGTGAACTTAATCACTGTCCTAAGTGGCATATCCATTAAACAACAGAGGACGTAATGGACCAGTACACCGGGGTAGCCCCCCCCCCACCATCGGTCTGGTCAAGCC